GTGATTCATTATATAGCGCATGCAATATGTGATTTTATTTCGAGAATTTTGATTATTTGTTAGTTAAGTTGTAGCTAGCTATAATAATTCAAGAATTTTATTTCCTAAATTTACCCATCTAAAGTTGAATGATTATAATGCACTAAAAATGAAAATTAAGAAGTCAAAGTTAACTCCTTTTTTTTTTGATATTTACAAATGATGCCCTAGATTGCTACTGTTTGGCCTTCATGCAATCAACTATCAACTGCTGAAGACTTCAAGTTGATATTAAGGGTGCAAATGGATATAGTTTCAATAGTAAAAAAATCAATTAAAATTCAAATTCAACTCAATTTTAACTCAACCCCACTATCTATAATATTATCAATATAATTAAAGAATATCAACCAATCATTCTTACACATCATATCAACTTTAATTCACTATTTATCCACTCACATAATTTTAACTAACCATCACTTCCAATTTTTTTTCCTACTTTACATCATATCAACTTTAATTATTTTATTTAAATATTATTTTAATATATCTACTAATAATTAACCATACCACTTTTTCCAAAATTAACTATAATTAAAAAATAAACTAAATAAAAACTAATTGAATCCAAATAAACGGACATTTAGTCACTTATCTAACCATCGGTCACCCGTCAATTGAATTGAATTATTCTGCTATAAAGAAATATATATATATATATATATATATATTAATATAAATATAAAAAAAAAATTCTTGTAATTTTATACTTCAAAATATTTATAATATTATATATTATCATAAATATCTACCACGTAAATATATGCACACATATTTTCGATTTTAAATTTTAAATATTTATTTTTTTAATAAAATAAAATAAAATTGGTGTCAACGGAGGTCAATGCCCAAATCTACCGTGTCAAAATAAAAACAATTTAACTAAAAAATAAATAAAATAAAAAATTGTACATGAAATTAATGAATAGGTCCCCCGTTCAAATACAAAGCATCTACTGCTTCGCTCTGCAACACTGTTACACAGGGTCCCCTTTTAAAAAAAAATACTACAAAAAAAAGTGATAAAGATCAATAG